CACCTGCCCCCCCACCCCTTGCTAGCCCCAGCATCAAAGAAGACAGGATGTAGGCTTGGAACCATGTTTCATCTCCCCCATTGGTCTGCTGGAGAGAGAGAGAGAGAGAGAGAGAGAGAGAGAGTGTGTGTGTGTGATATTTTTAAGTAGGTGGTTTATACTGTAGGAAGCCAGAAATCCTCTTTCCAGTGAAATAAATAGTTTGTTTCTAGCCTGGGAGAGAATACCCTGAAAGAGCTTAGTTTAGTTATATTTCAGAAGTATCTAGTAATTATTTCTCTCTCTATGCCAAACCTGTACAGCTGGACTCATATGAAGGCAGCCAGGACTTCCAGCTGGAGACGTAAAAAAACACAACCGTGCAGATATGTTTAAAAATGTTTCTAAAGAGGGGAATGTCTTAGGGAGATTGTGGGTATTGTCGAGGCCTTGCTTCCCCCTCGCACGGGCTGGGGCTGGAGAGACAGCCCTGGGGGCGGCTTTTGGACAGGAATAGCAAGTGCTGCTGCTCAACATGTACCCCAAGTGCTACCTGAGGGACTCTGCTTTCCTTTAGTATCACCGCAGTGCTACAGGCAGCCCTGTCACTCAGCAGTATTCAATCAAATAGTATAATTGAGTTCATAGAATACAACTACCCAAGACAGACGCAGACAAATACAGCTCTGTGAAATCCCATGCTGTTAGCAAATGGCACTGGAGATCGACGCAGCTAAATACATGTACATGTAGTGGGTGTTTGACACAGTGGGTGTGATAACAAGGTTAGATGCATTATGAAGCCAGTTATAACAGCCCTCTAACAATGGGTGACTTTGGAAGAAAGTGTTACTAAACAACAACCCACGACCATACATTTTAAGCTTCCAGAACAGTGATGCAGGGTAGCTCAGCTACCCGTGTATTGCTTACCTTTTCCCGAGCACAATACGCCATTGGCTGAGTCACAAAAGCTTTTGCTCTCATCTTCTGTCATGTTGCACTTTCTTGAATGTTGACACAACTGTCCAAACCATCCGTCCTCGCAGACGCATCGCCCACAAGAACAGAGGCCGTGGCCTGTAATGACAGCAGGGGAGCAAGCATGTTACACAGACAGGAGAAATTACCGACATTTCTAGCTGAAGAAAATACTGAGCCTTTCAGGCAGCTCAACATGGAATTGCCTAATTGAACCCCCAGGCCGGGCTCGTTCTGGGTCAGAATGTACTGGTGCAGCATGCCTACGAGACAGAAAGTATTACCGTCTTCGGCTAGCCTGGCCTTGAGCTAAGCAAGGTGGGCCGGTAATGTAAAGAATGGCTGGGCTCTGGCCTCGCAACTCCCCATCCCCAGCTCTTCTCCCTTGCAAGGGCCCTTACCCTCCTTCACTTCCTGTGGCTCCCTTCCCACCATACCAGCTAGCACATTGGGCAAGCCACAGAACTCTCTCCCTCTCTGTGGGCTGGGATGATCCATATGCCACAGCACAGTACAGCATCAACAAAAAAAGGGGTGGACATTTGGCAAAATCATCTGGATCGACTGGTAAGGCCAGCAGGGAGCATGCAGGGCCCATCACAGGGGGAAGGATAGGAACCGAGAAGGTGGTGAGGCAGATAACTATGTGATTGCCTGTTTAGGAGAGAGTGAGTAGGATGGTAGCTGGTCAGGAAGAGGAGGTAGGTGGGAGATGCTAGAAATCTGGAGTTTGGGGACAGGCCTTGGGAATATTTTTTGTCTCTTCCCAAACTTTTGAAAAGCAATGGGCACAGTCTTGTCCTCAGTCCTATCCCCAGCTGTTAACTCACACTAGCCCCATCCCTACCACCACTACCAGTGACAGGCATCCCAGTGCAAAGTCTGACAGCTGCTACTTTTGCTATTGCAAGACACCTCATGCTGTCTTGTTATAGCAAAGATGAGGAGCAAATGGGAAGGTATCACCATGGATTCCTTTCACAGGCGTGGCTGGGGCCTGAATGCAGGAGTTAAGGCAAAGCATCCTAAGGGCAGATGGCATGCAGAAGAGGGTGCAAGGGAGAACAGGAATCCACTAGCGATCCCTCGGGATATATATATCTCGGGGGCGGCTGATTAAATGGCAGTACAAAGGATAGAGGGGAAGAGAAGGAGAGGGACAGAAGAAAGGATAAAAGGCAGGAGAAGAGGGAGCAGGGAAACAAAATAGGGAGGAAACGGGGACAGACAATGAACGGATGGAAAAGGAGGACAAGTGAGTGCGGGAAATACACTGGAACATGTGTGAAAGCAAGAGCCTAGATTACAAGAAGAGTGAAAGAAAGGGAGAAGCAAAACTGGGAAGCGTGATTTGTTCAGGGCACAGGAGGAACAGAGAAAGACAGACAGTTGAATAGAAAACTGAGAGCACAAGACAGAAAGGGAAAGAGAGCAACAAATGGGAAAACCTGAAAGCAGATGGATGATGACAAAGGACAAAAGAAATGGAAAATATGCAAAGAAGCAAGAAATGCCACAAAGCTGAAAGCTTAGTACATTATACTGAATTTATTCACATTTCTAAACTTCACTGCCTTTCCATAGCAGAAAGGGGAATTCCTTAGCTTATACATTTGCAGTGCTTTGAAGATGGTCTCTGTACATTGTAAGCAATTATTATAACAACTATTATAAGGGCAGAGGTGATGAAAAGGAAGGGGTTAGGGCTGATTGCGTTGGTGGGCTGGGCAAAGGGCAACTAGCTTGAGGACCATTCTGGCAGAACGTGGGTCTGTGGGAAAAAGGAGGGACATACCAACACGTTTATGCTGCTAATTTGGGAACAGCTCCCAAGGCAATGATGCAGCTTAACATAATAAATCTTGAAGTAGCATGGGAGGCAGACCCAAAGGAGATACAAACCAGGTAAAATGGAATTCCTCAGCACTTTAGTGATAACCAACTACTTTACTAATTGATGGTTTTGAGCTGTTCTTATTCACAGACATGAAGATATTCAGATCTATTTTTGAAGTCTAGTGATTTAACAATTGCCAGACCATTAATTGATTATTTCTTCATTTTGGATCCTAATAAGTGTTCAGCATTAAATGTTCAATACCTACATGCTTCATGGTATGCTGGGTACGCATGTCTATCTCTGCACTCACCTTCACAAATATCAATTTGTCTATATACATTTAACATGTATATAAAGCACTACATATTGGTAAACCATAAATACTGAACAGTCCTGTGACGTTTTAGCTTCCATTTTAAGTTGAGTAACAATGAGATGTGTTACATACCATAGAAGGATAAGGGTGGCAGCCATCTGTACTTTCCCATATACTGCTATGGTTTAGATTGCATAAGGATATGGGTATAAACATATTATGATTTTCTACATTTTCTCATCATGGCCAAGTTTCTCCAAGGGTATTTGGCCTCTTTTACTTTGGTTTTCTTTAGCAAGACATGGATTAAGTTTTTAAAATATTTCAAATATTGAAGAACTAACTATTCAATACATTGAATAGGACTTGCATACTGGAAAATTATTTTTGGAGGTGCAAATACTTGTACTCCTGCAAGCACAAGTGGGTGAATGCGTAAGTCACACTCAGCCCCAGGCCCTCTCTGTGGTTTAAAGAAGGCAGAGAATAACCACATCTGCAAAATTACTGCAAAAATCCAATTAAAAGTATTCTAACTTTTGGTTTGGTTAGAAAGATTTTTTTGTTTTTTAATAGGACTTGTGCAATAATTTTTCTGATGTGACCATTCTCTGCCTTCTACATACCATACAGGATCTTGATGTGGAAAGGTCTCTTTCTTAAGAAGTTTACTTCACCATTTATAGCTGCTTCCAGATTGCCAGATGTTAATCATTAGCGTGGAGAGAACACAAAGGGTGCTACTCATCACATTGGCTTTCATGACACTAGCCTCTGTCTTTTTCCCCCAAAAGGTATCCTTTGGCATACAGCAGCTCCTCAAACTTCTACATTAATTCGATTCATGCAGCCACAGAAGCCTTCAAACATCAGTGAAGCGACAACTGCCTTCACTGCTGCAGTTCTGACATCACAGGATAGTTACACTTGAATTCTGGAGGTCTCCATACTGTTAAGTTTTTTTTAAAAACCTCTTGTTACTATTTGGGGAGAGGATCCACAGTTTAAACTCATATTTATTCATGAAATACGAGGAGTTCCCAATGGGATTTATTAGCACTGTGAAGTGGTAAACCTTGTGCCCAAGAGCCTCCTAGAGTTTCAAAGGACAGTCTGCATTGCTGGACCATGTCTTGACACTGGCTGCATTGCCTCTTCCAGCACAGGCTACACCAAAAGCATAAGCGCTGAGACCAGTTCTAGCTGCATCAGAGAAACTGACTGGCGTATGAGATAAGGATAAAGGATATGACATGCCGGAACATCCGTTTCACCATTGGTTCTTACCACCTTCCATGTGGAAACACTACTTTGATGTGCCATGGTCACTGCAAACAGCTGAGACTCCCTCAAAGGAATTTGGTTGGTTGAAAAGACCAGGCCTATCAATGTATTCTGCTGTTTTAGATAGCATCAACAACAATGGACCAACTCTTGGACTATCAGTGTTGGGGTAACCAGAGAACTAGGTTGCTCCTAGGAGTTGAGGGCAAGGGCAATTCCAAAATGGGAGGCCAATGGTCTCTCTTGACTCAAACCTAAATATCATATTACCATAGGCAATGCCCTATTTGAAGTACAGGCCTCTGAGCATCACTCATATAGCATTACGGGGGTACATAGCCTTGGTGAGGGCTGGCGATACAGTGCCGATATATTGCATCCAGCTCGATTCTCAGGTGTAGAGGCACTGCTTTGAGTTGTCTATTCCATCTGACCCATGCCATCACCAATGGTACAGATGAAGTGGGATCTCAACCATGTTTTTTCCTAGACCAGGTTGTGAGGATGTCCAAGACAGCTCATGTTGTACCAGTTGGTAGTACAAAGAGAAGCCAGGAGGGCTTTTAGATGCTTCCTCCAGAAGCTGATTTGTTGAGACATCTGTAAGAAAAGCTCAGAGTGGAGCCAGTCATGGTCCCTTATGAAGAACAGGAGGCAATGACTGGCGTTAGGAATACTGTCTCATATACTGCTTTAGTGTTGTTATTATTAATAAACACTGCTTGTCCCCAACCCTGAAAGACAGCATAAAGTACAGGATAATAATCTACCCAGGTGGGCCAGCCAATGCTGATCATGCTGCAGCTGTGAGTGGAAAAAAATATCATAAGTAATAGGTGCAGAAGAGCATCAGAGTTCTGCTGCAACTGGAGAGCCAGTCATGATCCAGGATACCTCCATCCTCAGACAGGACCTGAACATTAGAGAACTGGTCCTAGAATGCAGCTTACATATCTCAGGAAAGTTGTCATTAATCATCTTCTTCTGGGACCAGCATGCTGCGCCTTTGTGCCAGGGCATAGACTCTAGAATGGGAGTCTGTATCTAATAAAAGAGCGCTGCAGAATCCATGACAGGTCCTATTACAACTTCTGTCTGAATGAAGGCATCATGGCTCCTATTCCTGGTACTGTGATTGACAGCTGAATTTTAAGTGAGTGTCTCATTTTAATCATGCAGAAACATAGTAATAGGGTCTCAATCACTTAAACCCTCATTTATCACATCCTTCCCCTTATGTCTACCTACCGGCACATGGGCAGCTGGTCTGGAAAGCAAGCTATTAATCAATCTCTGCTGGTCAGAGAACGCTAGTGACAATTTTTATTCAAATCACTTAGATTGTCATTCACATTTCTCATTTCAGCAAGTATCTAATCTTGAAATACCAGAGTCTCCCTTCCTCATGCTCCGAAGCACTCAGCTCTCACTTTAACAGATTCTGTTCAGTCACAGGGTCTAGCTTTCCATTCTCTGAAGCTGGAGCTCTATGATTATTCTTTCCACAATATCACATCTCTTGACAGTGATTGCCAAGCTTATGGTATTGCCTAGGTCAACAGACCAATGGAGAGAAGAGGAAGAGGAAGGGGATAAGGAGCTCAGCAAGACATCCCAACAACAAATGTCAGTGAAACTGATGGAGATGCAAGATTAGAC